CGCTGAACAGCCCTGCTTTGCTCCCCCCGCCCGGCTCTTTCTCTCGATTCACTCCATTCACTCACCGTCTCCTACTACCCACATCTCGGCTCGCAGGTCCCCTTCCGGACACAAGCGCCAAGCAGAGGAGACGGCTCGACCTCAATCCCACACAGCAACAACCCCCTTACTTGAAGAAAAGCGAACTCACCAAGGTAAATTTCCCCCTGCCCGGCCGGGGGGCGCTGCTGCTATGGGTCCCCCCAGGCCGGCTCCAACACTTCCCTCACCCGCTTCCTACGGTTCGAATCAACAACAAGATGGCGGCGCCGGGAAGGTGGGCATTCCGCCGTCATAGCAACCGTGTCATCCAAGTCCCACCTCCTAAGGACTAGAACCAATAGCATAATGAGGCATTCCTAGAGCTCTGTTGTTCCTGGTATTGATTGGGCTACGTAACTCTCACTTTTCCATAACTTTCACGCCTCTTCAACAGGAACCACGCCTTCAGTTTTCCGACGCACGCTGCGCAAACGTGACGTGACCAATCTCTTGTGTTGGGGCGATTGTCTATAGGCTGACAAGTCGTGGCTCGTCAAACCAATCACAGAAGCCTTCAACTGTTAATCTCTACCCCCACCTTGAGGCAGGTCTTTTAGGACCTGACCTCTGTCGTTGCTGTGGAAAGTGGTTCCTAGATTACCTTTTACTTACCCTGGCTTCTGACCCTTTTTTACTCTCATTCCTGCCTTATCTACCTAAGACAAACTCCAGCTACTCTGAAGAGTCTGTTCTTATCCAAGCTATGATTAAGGACTTACCCTCTGACCTTGCTATAAAGATTGTGCTAGGTTTGCTGAAATCCAATATTGTACTTATTTCGGATCCTTGCCACTCACTTCCATGACTTCATAAATCACCTACACCTCTTCAGAAAGAAAATGCAGTGCCTTTATTTTTACACATTGATATATATATATTTTTACTTTATTTGCTCATGGCCTCTCTGTACAAATATTCTGCTACAAAGCTTCAGTCCAACTAGGGGTAATTTGGGTTGGAGACCGACAGTAGTGTAAAGTACTGGGTCCAGACACCTAAAGTGAATCTGCTCATTGTTTATTTCAGCTCCAGATACAAGACAGGGTAGCAGGGTTGGAGCCTTGTTTAAATCCACACACACACACACACACTCAACCATAGGCTATTTACAGTGTACTAACACCCATAGGTCCACTCTCCGATCCGGGGTGGCCGATTGGTCCATACTAGGATCCAAGCCAGCTATTGTCTTTTGAGCGAAGCTTAGCCCTAGCACATGACCATGTGTTAACCCGACTGCGTGTGCAATCTGTGGTTAATACATAACATCCCTCCCTCCAAAGTTCAGAACTACCCTAACTGACATAGTCCTTGAGGTAGGCTGGTCTCCGCCGCTCTCGAGTCAAGTGGCGCACTCCAGCTGGTTTGTTGGCTCCAGAGCTGTTCCGGATGGTGGTGCTGTCGTGTCAGGGGGATATGCTGGCACCTGCTTGCCCCGGGTCTCGGGCATGCTGTCTGGTACCGAGGCCTCGCTGCTGTCCTCTGTGGGTGGTGCACTTGGCCCTGGTTGTGCTTGAGTGAGGGCTGAGTTGTCTTCCGAGTTTTTGGGCTCCAAGCTTACAAACTCATCCTCGCTGTCCTCGGCCACTACCGGATCCATGGGGAGGAGCCGGCCTCATAGCTGGTCAATGTGTCTCCTCAGCAGCTGCCCGTCCTCCGTGGAGACTTCGTAAGACAAGGGGCCTGTGACTCAGACCACCCTGGCCAGAATCCATGCTGGGCCCTGTGAGAAGTTTTTGGCGTAGACAGGGTCACCTAGAAAGAACCCATGGGGAGCTTCTTGGCTGTCTGGTGCTGCGCTGTGTTCTGGGGCCCTGTCGGGGTGAAGCCGGTCCAACCTGGTCATGAGGCGTCTTCCCATGAGGAGGCTGTGTGGGGAGTTATTAACTGGTTGAAGAGGAAGGCAGCGAGCTGGTGGTCCCAGTCGCCCGGCCCCATTCGGCGCAGGGACTCCTTCGCTGTTCGGACCATGCGTTCGGCCTGACCGCATAACAAGTAGTTTCAAATGAGATTACAATCCACTTTCACCTCTAGCAAACAGGTTCTGCAGGTTGGGGGGGGTTGTTTTTGTTTTTAATCCTGCAGCATCTGTTGGACCAAAGATGAAAGAAACACAATAGAAATATGTGTATATACTCTAAGAAATGTCAGACCTCTGTATCCAACCTTGGAAAGCTTCATCCCTTTATCCAGCAGTTCATTCCATGATCATTGTCCTGTTGCTAATGAGTCACAAAGAAGTCACCAAGCTACAGTTCTTGTAACTGTTCATTTATATTCTTAACAGACACCATGCTTCCCCTTCTGTGCTGCTACACAAATTCATCCACATTTTTAAAGCTACAGCAAGGCTATCGCCTTCAATACATAGCAAAGGGATATCACAATAGTGGCACTAAATCAGAGCTTGTGGGAATATCATGCAAATGCTAACACGTATTTAGGACGTCCTTCATCATGCAGAAAGATCTCAAGATGCACTTTCTTCTCCAGTACTGAGATATGGAAAAATGCCAGAAAGACACATCTTCTAATCTATTGGTCAGATGATATCCCATTAAAGGAGGTGGAAGAGAAATTGTTTCTGAACTTGTGAGAGACAAAAGCAATGGCAAAAGGATTGCTATTTAATTTCATCAATAGAATTTGAGTCAAATTATAAAGTCCCATCAAATTGGAATATAATTCTGAAATTGCAAACACTGATACTGAAAGTCAGCTGCAACTCCACCACACTTTGCACAGGGCTGCAATTTGTATGGGGGAGGAGTCCTCTGGCAGAAACTCTGGAGAGCTTTTTTAGTCTTATCCCACTAAATTGAAAAGGAAAAACATGCTGATGCCCTAGCGCGCTTGCATAGTAACACTAATTTCCTGCCCTTCCATGCAAATTTGCATGGTTTTCTCTTTGTAGTTCACTAATTGGATCCTGCACACTGGCACAGACCACCTCACATGTCTCTTGAGAAACCTATATAAGGGTCAAGAAGCAACAGTTAGAACCGGATATGGAACAACTGATTGGTTTAGCATAGGAAAAGGAGTACGACAAGGATGTATATTGTCACCTTGCTTATTTAATATATATGCAGAGTACATCATGCGGAATGCTGGCCTGGATGAATCACAAGCGGGAATTAAGATTGCTGGGGAAAAGATCAACAACCTCAGATATGCAGACAATACCACTCTAATGGCAGAAAGTGAAGAGGACCTTAAGGGCCTCTTGCTCAGGGTAAAAGAGGAGAGCGCAAAAGTGGGCTTGAAGCTCAACATCAAAAAAATGAAGATCATGGCATCCGGCCCCATCACTCCTTGGCAAATAGAAGGGGAAGTCGTGGAAGTAGTGACAGACTTCACGTTCCTGGGATCCCAGATCACCGCAGACTGTGACAGCAGCCATGAAATTAAAAGATGCCTGCTCCTTGGGAGGAAAGCGATGGCGAACCTAAACAGCATGATAAAAAGTAGAGACATCACCCTGCCAACAAAAGTCCACATGGTCAAAGCAATGGTATTCCCAGTAGTCATGTATGGCTGCGAGAGTTGGACTATAAGGAAGGCCGAGCGCCGAAGAATAGATTCTTTTGAACTATGGTGCTGGAGAAGACTCTTGAGAGTCCCTTGGTTTGTCAGTCTCTTGGAATATTACTTGAAGCTCTGCTTTTAAAAAGAAATGCTAGACTCCAGACTTTTTGGGCTGGCAGTCTTCCTACTACTAATCATAGTTGTCTAGAGATGGGTCGTGATCATTCTGTTGGTCAGGGAAAAGCTCTTCCTTTATTGTTATTTCATTTTTTCAACTCCTGAGTCCTGGCACTGCAAACAGACTCCTTCCAACCCATGATGACCCTTGGCAAAAATTAAGCCCTACCTTTCTTTCAGATCATACAACAAATGCTCCAAAACAAAACACACAATTCTACAGTGCTTCTTTATTTTTTAATGTTTGGCTTGGTACACCCATCCCAATACAAGACTTTGGAATGGTGGCTGTTGTAGTCTTATGTTGGTAGTTCCATTCACAAGTAACACCACCAAGAGCAATGAATTTCAATCAGAGGGGAATTCAAAAGCAAGGTATTTACCATTTATAAAAGAAAATTGTCAAAAGTTTATCTTAATGGGAAAAATCTCCAAACAAGTACACATAAAAGGGAAGAAATGCCGCCATGATATTTCAGTGTGGGTCAGGAAGACTTTACAGCACACCAGGGAACTGAAGAAAAATTGTATGCAGCCTTTCTGGCAAGTCCAGCTCCTATCTATACGTAGACATTTCTAGGATTACTGGCACCCAGCCAGGTCCTACAGCTTCTGCTCTTCTGCCTGTACTCCCCACTCAACCAGTCTCCTTGAGCCTTTACCTCTACCTGCAGAACTTCCAGCCACCCTAGTGAAAAACACCAATACCCCACCTCATTTAAGAAGTGATTTTATCTCTACCCTATTCCCACTGCATCCTTTCTACCTTTTTCCATTGATCCGAAGATTTTCTAGAGGTACATAGTGGGGATAAAATTTCACTAGCTTCTGTGTCTAGTGGGGATAAAATTTCACTAGCTTCTGAAATTTCACTGACACTCTGAAAATTAGGCACCCAGGACAAGAAAAACAAAGGTGACTGTTCTTGGTGTCTATTCTTGGAAATTTATCAAATGGAAATAGGAATTAGTCAAGGAAATAAGAGCTGGCTAGAGGAAAGCTTGTCATTTGCAACACTCAGCTTCTGTGGGTAGATACACAAAGTGGGTATAATAATTAGAGGAAATGTATGGGAAAGACTGGCTTCTATTCCAACATACTGGGAAGGTACCATGGACACTTAATGTGATAGTTCACAGTGTACACTCTTTATTTTCCCTCCCCATCATGTCTGTGTGCCCTCAGGCTGCAGTCCTTTAGTTGAAAAACCACATTTACATCCAGCGCCGTGCTCCACTGCTGCTGTCGTACAGGTAATATTGGCCTGTGACTAGAGACATAAAGCAAAGAACAACATCAGGTCTTTGTCTGGTGCAGCATTACATCCTAATTCTTTGCCTTCTCTTCTTGGCCACCAATAAACTTAATGTGCCTACCAATAAACTTAATGTGCAGTTTGAGGTAGTGGTTAAGTGGGCGGACTCTAATCTGGGAGAACCAGGTTTGATTCTCCACTCCTCCACTTGCAGCTGCTGGATGACCTTGGGCAAGCCATAGTTCTGTCAGAGGCGTTCTTAAAAAGAGCAGTTTCTGTCAGAGGTCTCTCAGGCCCACCTACCTCACAGGGTGTCTGTTGTGGGGAGGGGAAGGGAAAGGAGTTTGTAAGACGCTCTGAGACTCCGAGTGAAGGGTGGGATATAAATCCAATCTCCTCCTCCCCCTTCCCCCCTCCTCTGTTCTGTCCCTATGGCATCTCACAGAATGGGGGGCTTATGAGGATATCTCCTGGGATTCATGTCTACTGTGGGTGCCATAAACATCCTCATGAGCCAGACTTCCCAACCAGGAGCCGTTGCAGCAGGGGTCATTTCGTAGAAAAAGAGGTGCAGGAGCTCATTAGCATAACTCATTAGCATAACTTATTTGCATATGCCACACACCCTGACATCACCGGAAGTGTGTCAGAAGGCAACACCCACCATTCAGGCTCCACTGGACTGTTTTGGATTGCTAGCTATTGGGGGGGGACGTGCAGATCTGTCCTCGCAGAGGAGGGAGAGCTTGTACCTGAATAAAACTTGGTCTTAAAGGTGCCACTGGACTGTTTTGGACCAAGGGGGCTCTGCAATTTACCTAGCTGCTTCTTGCTCTGACTGAGGGCTCCTGGGAGCAGGGGGCGGGGCTGAGAGCAGGGGGCGGGGCTTGTTGCATGCACCCACCCCCTGGTCTCTTTACTGCCGGAGTGCCACTCCTGTGCGCTCCTGCAGGAAATGACCCCTGCGTTGAAGCCTGAAGGCATTATACACCATGGCAATTCCTTTAATTCAGTATGGATTGTGGAGATGAAGTTGCCCTTGCTGTGAAGAGCAAGTTAGGTATTATGGGTCCTTTCCTTTGTTGTGATGTGTAATATCTGCTGGGGCACATTATGGGTGATAGTGTGCAACCTTCGGCTTTTGGTTAATAAATGAAGCTCTACCTAAGAGATCAACATGCCCAGTCATTCTTGCAAAGATATAAAAGAGTTAGTTAGGAAAATATTGTTCTACACGGAGGGGCCTGCGAGGAACTCACAGGAGTAGGGAAATCACATCCACCCTGTTGGTTCTCATTTCTTCCTCCTCCTTCTTTCTGCCCCCTACTCTTGTATTTCTCTGCCTCCTTTTGCCATCACCTCTCACTTACTCACCTACCATTGCCTCCCCCCCCTTCACTGATTATTCCTCCACCTTTCCATTGCTCAGTTACCTGACAGTCCACTAGCACTGCCTCCTTCCTTTGCTGCCTCTCTCCCTCCCTTGCTTGCTCATGCACCCACTCGTCCACTGTGTGCACTTTCCTCTGCTGTTTCTTCTGCCACCCTGTCCTGCTTGATTGTCCTTCCCCACCCCCCATTGCCCCTTTCTTAATTCTTCAGTTTGTAGTGGTTAAGTGCACGGACTCTAATCTGGGAGAACCGGGTTTGATTCCCCACTCCTCCACTTGCATCTGGCTGGATGAATAAATCCAATCTCTTCTTTTTCTTCATCGCCCAGCGGCAGCTATGACCCTTCTTCAACATTGTTGATGGGTTGCTAAGAAACCCTCATAGTAGCAAGTGAGATCTCACGATGCAGCATCATTCACAAGGTTTTATTTTTCCCTTTAAGTTGTGTTTTTGGTGTGTTAAATTCCCCCTCAAATTGTTTTAAGTTGTCAGGTTTTTCTGTAGACCGCTGGATTTCCTCCAGGTATGTGGAGTCCCCCTATTCACACATGGCCCCACTGTACAGAATTTTTGATCCATGCTCTGGTGGTGTTCTAAATTTGCTGTACTGATCTATGAATTCGGTGTTGTGTTTGATTGATTGGTTCATTGAAGTACTGTGCTGTCTCATCCAATAAGTCTGGAACCTATCTTAAAAGCTTTTATAAAGCAAAACTGCAGAATGGACTTACCAGGGTCCTGAGCAGAGCCATCAAAGTGGTGCTGCTGTAATGGGAGAGAGAGAGAGAGAGAAAGATAGTCTCATACGATCACATTCCCCACCATGGGTGCCAAAGGCCTATATGGGAGAGGAAGTGTTGCTTGAACTTGAGATAATTCCAAGTTTTTCCTTTCTCAATTTCTGTTATTAAGTGGCTTCTTGGAAGCTAAACAGGAGGAGCTTGATGAGTGACAGAAATTCTCAGTTACATCATTCCAGTCTCTGACTACAGGGGGCACTGTGGCTCTCAGAAGGTGCCAAACAAGGCAAGCGAGAGTGTTTGCCGTTCAGTGATCCTCAGCATGGTGCCAGTCCATCCATGGCATCCACCAATGTATTTCCTGGTACTTGCTTCCTGCCTCTGTTCTTATCCTGACCCCTTCCATAACTTTTCAAATTCCCTTCTATTTGACCTCCTCCCCTTCCCTGTTTACATGTTCTCTTTTTTTAGTATTTCCTTTGTCTCCCCTCATATTCTTTCCTTCTTCCTTTTCTGCCCACCTCTCTCTCCTTAACATGTACCCCATACCACTGCTATAGCTGGGCTTTGAGGTGTGGTAAAGACAATGGGAAGATGGCATTCTGTTAGCATCCTGGCAGGGTTCTGGCAGTGCCAACGTCATGAACAACTATGATGGTAAGACTGGAGGAACAGCGAGAGACAAGTTCCACCTGCTTCCAGCAAAGTTAAGGCAGTAGCCACGACGTCAAGGGTACTGGGGACCTATGCTCTCAGCTTAGCTACATTCGTGTTTGCTTGAAAGACAGATGTGTGTTTGCTTGAAATTACTTCACCTCAACAACAACTCCACTACTGGCAGAAAGGAAGAGGCCTATTGGCTCTCATTTCAAGAAGTGAAAGAATAGCCAAGAGAGACAAGGGAAGAAAAGGAGGAGGAGAATGGAAGATTTATATTCCTCCAGTTTGAGCCATGGAAACTCATCTCAACCTCTTAGCACCTGCCACATCCACACACACACACCC